GTGCTGGCAAGATAGTGTATAGAAGTGGTCTCCATCCCTGGTCCAGTTATTCTTTTAGGTTACCCTACAATATATCCCATGTTTGTAAAGATTAAAAACACTTTTTATGTTTAAGCAATTAATCATTTAAGCAAGTAATGTTTCAGTGAAGGGAACACTGGTCCTGGAGCGCTGAAGGATATTCCGATTTTTGTTACAAACCATCTCTACATAACTTAATTGATTATACCACCAGTTTAATTGATCATAGTTAAATTGTTTTAGGCCTTTAGGCTTTTAGGGGGAAGGGCCTGTAAAATGTTCTGGACTAAGGTTCTCCAGGATGGACCAGGAGTGGAAATCTCAGACACCTCCAAGAATACAGTATAGTGAAAATATGACCAAATTCTAACTGATGAGCAAATTTGTTCTTTTTTTTATCAAATTACTTTTATTTTCTGCAGTCTTGGATCAGCCTGGAGTGTATGATGTAGAACCTCAGAAACATCTACTAGTCCACACTTTGTTTTAATATGGAACTCTGAAGTTCTGTACTCTGTACTTCATTTAACCTTTGATTTTGCCTTTGTCAGAAATCATATAACTCGACTACATGTTTTCCTTTTGTGTTTACAGGTAAAGTCTTATGAATAGGTGTTATTGAACATTTTTTTTTTCTTTCAAGAGAGCCATATAAAACGGGCCCCATCAATGCGTAGAAACAGCAAGTTTACACAGTTCCTATGAGGTCCATTTGACTCCTTTTGGTCAACTTATGGGGCATAAAAATCTTTTTGCCTTCTAGCATATGGCAATAAATGCTTTTGTGCCATTGTGTAAGATATGAAACATAGGGTTTTCCTTCCACCAAATGTGTCAGGGAAAAGAAACAGCCTAGGCTATCAGTCATAAGCAGCGTGAGGAACAATGTATTTTTCAAACAAGTCATTTGGAATAACGGAGGCAATCAGTCAGAAACAACATAAACAAATGACTTTCGCTTTACATGGCAGGCACCGAGATATACAGTGCTAATAAAAATGAACAAGGACATCCGTTCACTGATCCTTCAATGGATATTTGTGTCAAAAATATCTCATCTTATTTGCAGTGGGATATGAAAATTTAGATGAGTTGAACAGCAGTGCTGCACGATTTCTATGTTTTTGCTAAATACTATGTCAATGGCCGGGCCTGATTTTTACCTGTCATTCATTTCTCTTTGAATAAAAAAGTGTCTGCATTCTCCAGTCTGGATTCTTCATTCTTCAGTTTGCCTTTTAATTCCTGCATAACTTCCCATGTATACTTGTGCTTGAGTGTTTAAAGATCTCACTTAAAACAAAGCAGCTTTAGGTTCCACTCATGTTCAGTTTTTAAAGAGACAAGCAGAATCTAATCCCATGATGAAAAGTAAAGGGAGAGAGTTCAATTCACTGTGTTTTGGCTGTGCAGTCTCCCTGAGAGAGAGGGTAGAAATAAAGGGAAGAGATGTGACATGTAGAAAAGAAAAGACCTTTTTACTTTTGAGCATGGGATTACCCTTAGCTTGTAAAATTAGAATAGTTTATTAGAATAGAGGCACATCTCAGCACAAATGGTGGTGGATACATTTAACAGGACCTGTTAAAAAATGTCTTGATGAGACATTAACAGCCCATAAGCTTGCAACACCCAAACATTCAATATGAGTCGAATGGATTGTTTTTAAATTGTTTGGGTGTTCTTGAAGCGACACTTTTCCTTGTCCCACTGCCTCATCAATGTAGCAGCATACCCTCTACAATTCTCTACCTCTGGCTGCGGATACAGTACGTGGCATAGCATTGTCATCAACAGGCCAATGGTGGCAGGAATGACAATCCATTTCATATTGTAGCAATTGTACCCGGCAGCATCTCTGTGGCAGGATGTTTCTGAGGGGGAAGGGAAACAGTTGAATATGTTCCAATCGGTTAATTCTGTCTCCCCCCTTAAGTGCAGGTGCCCCTCTTATTCAAAATAACAGGGAGGGCAGAGAAGTGGGAGACTGGTGGATAATAATATATTTATCACCTCCCTACTACCATTTCAGTCAGTGAACTATTCACCCATATAATTCCCAATCGGCTTATCAGTGAGAAAAAATATACAAGCATGTAAAATTCAGTCTAACTGTGAAATGCAGCAGCTCACTCTTCCTGGAGAGTTCACATGCTAGGACTTTAACAAAGCAAGATGAGCCGGCAAGAAACGTAAGTTGATGTATTCAGTCTCCTCCCTGCTGTGCCAGTGTTTTAACCTATATCAAGCCTGATTATTTTCTAGTGCTTGCTTCACTAGACTAGACACATTACATCCTAATTATGTATACACTACAAAGTATGCCTGAAGACATATACATTCTTAATATCTTTTTCTTCTTCTAAACAAAGCAAACCTCTTCTACATCAGTTTTGGTGTCTATTAGTAATGCATCAGTTTTTCAACAGACCTTAGCAATCTTTGGTACCCAAGAGTCTAGTTAGTTTTACAGAAAGCAGCAATTCTGTTCTCAGCTCTACCGAAAAAAGCATGACACTGTGCTCTGTTCATAACCAAAATAAAAAAAGAGCTGATGTGTTTATTGAATAGCCAGACTCACAAAGGATAAACACCACAGTGTTACAAAAACATGAATTGAAGCAAAAATGTTTTTTTCTTACAGTATATTAGTGGAATTTGTCTATTCACACAGGCATGTGTGGCAAGTTCATTATACTCCAATTAAGTTAGTACACTTTGCACAGATTAATTCACATTACAATTAATGTCTTGTAGCAAGAAGCGAGGGTAATTGAGTGATTAGCAAATGTGAACAGCAGAAATAGCCCTCCCCTTTGCAAAGGAGAGGGAAAGAAGAAAATTAAAAAGGAATGGATGCTTTAAATTTTTTATTAACATAAATAACCTAAACAATTATTTCTCAATGGGGGATGTGCTTCCAAATCCCTTCTGGGCTTTATAATAATGGCTCTGTACCTCATTAAACCAGCAAGTTTTTTTCAGGCACCACAGCAAAGCAGGGTAGTTTTAGTGACTCATTAGTTTCAGTCCCAGACTGGGAAGCTGTTTACAGAGATTTGTTTAGAGACACCAAGGTTAACTGCATTTAAGAGTTCTTTTAGAATGCTGGAAAAAAAATGGAAAACATCATTGAAATATACATTTTATGTGAAAGAAAAATAAGGATAATTCATTGGAAATAGGTTATACCTGTAGGTTTTAAAATGTCTATTTTAATCTTTCTACCTGAAGTTTTAACAAACTTTATGTTGGACTCAGCCCTGTATTTAGTGTAGAAACTTTAATTTTCTCTCAGAGCTAATTTCACTTGCTCTCATTTTTAATTTCAACAATAATATAATTTTAAGCTCTTTTAGCAGCATTTAAAATCTGTAAATTTCAGTAAATTCACTGACACCTGATGCTTTCTACTATACAGTACATATATTTTTTCAGTTAGTTTTTTTTTCTAAATGATGTTGATGTGAAATTAGTTTTTAAGTTCCAGCTTCATGTCTTGTAAAAATACTGTAAGACCTGATCAATTTCCCTGAAGATATGGTGGTGACAAACATCAAACCTCTGGATCATCTTTTTCCCTAGTGCTAGAAACTATATCATTACTATGACATTGCGTGGGGTGTTCGGGTGTTACAATCAACCCTTAACCCTGTTTTAAATGTCATATAACATTTTGGGTGACTATATATATATAAATAGTCTCATTTACACTGTTGCCATAAGTACAGACAATTGTACCTTCCTCTTAGGGGGGTGGGGGTAGGGACTTTTGTTATCATACCTTTATTTTACCAGGTGAATGTATTGAGAATTAATTCTCTTTTACAATGAACCTAAGAGTTCCTGTTCACAGAGCAGAGACTTTATTGGGAGGTTTTTGCTTTGGCTTTTGATTGTAGGTCCAGAGCTCTAGGTTGTCGAAGAAAAGTCTTCACTCAGGTTAGGTGTGGTCAAGCAGAGTCCCTTTATTCATGCGCATGGGGAGGATATAATCATGCAGATCTGAGAGGAGCCTCTCATACAGACCTGTGAGTAACCTCTCCACCGAGATGGTAAATGCAATGAGTTTTATACAGCAAATTCACAAAGGAAAGCTCATTTTAAGCTTCCATATGAGGAGTTGTTTTTCTCTCTACAAACATTTATTTGTAATTGACCATGTTCTTCTTAAGAAGCAGTTTTACCTGCTGTTCTGCTGTTCTACCATATAAACAAAAGGAAGTATATAAATAAATGGTGTGAAATGAGCTAGACATTCTGCTGCTGTAGCATTAATATCAAAAAGTCAAAAAATATGCTTGCAATTGTTCTTTCATACTGTTGCTGGGTAATAGGCCTTTTTCAAAGCCAACTAGTCACTATCTTATACACTTTAAAAAAGGTAAATGCTAAAATTCTTCCTCAAGGTAGGTACTACTGCACTCTGCTATTCTACAAATATAGTATTATACTCATAATTCTGAAATCTGAAGCACAGTGGGATACAATACATTGATCATCTATCTCTCCCAAGAGAGTAGCAGTAATTATCTGAATTGAGAAGGTGCTACTGTATTTGTCTACAGAGCAGTCTACAGAGCACTGGCAACCTCTTTGAACTCCTTAAACTTCACAAACGTCTTTGAAAAGGGCACTTAAAAAGCAATTTAATACTTATGGATGTGTCAGATAAGTGAAATAAAACAAGCTCAAGTCAGGAGTTTGCCCTGTACTTTTTTCTTTTGCGATGTAATCTCACACAGACCAAACATCTAACGGCATGCATCTACTGCTGTATATATTACATTTACTGTTACTCATTAAAACGCACTTCGTCTCGCAATGTACTTACAAAATTATTAACAATTTATATGTGAGTTTTGAAACCAACCACTATACTAACCGTTTTTATAAGAAGTGGGGAACTTAGCTTTGCTAAGCAAGTGTCACATGACCGATGCTGAAGCTTCATTTCCTGTTTCCAACTGCAGCGTCCTCCGAAACAGACTAGCAGCTATGACAACGGGAGTGGAAACATGGGTGGACTGACTGCACAAAACAGGATTTACCGAAGTTGCAAAATGCCACATAAAGTTCTGAAATGCATCATCGAATTAGAAATTCAAGCTGTAAGTTGATATTAAAGATATGTTACTTATATTCTCATTTGTTGTGACCAGAAAGAAGAGTTTCTCAGTCATTCTTTTTACTGTAATGATGGAAATTGTTCGTCGAGTGTAAAATACAGTAGAAACGTAAACAGGAGGCTGTAGTCGTTTTTGTACATTAAATGTGAATTACGTTAAATCGGTAAATCTGTGAGTAAGTTGTTCGTGTTTTTTTTTTTAATTTCTTTGAGGGTGCATCTTTGTGTAGGCATTTTCCGTATGAAGTTCTTTAAGTGAATCGAAGAGGCTGCCCATCATGGCGTAACTTCTTCTTGAATACAGAGGATGAGAACGGATAACAATGAATTTGAGTGGCTTGAGCTTCACAAATCGCCACAAAGGACCTTACTGATGTGGCCAATCGAGTAGCTGGACGGAATTTCCTTTAGCCAATGCTCGCCTAAGTGAGGCGTGGTTTTGTGCGTTTGTACGCAAGTAATGGATTTGAATTCGTGGAAGAAGAGTGGGTGTGCTAGGAGCGCAGCAGACGGACTAAAGGCAGAGGCTGGTGCTACAGTATGTATGTAACTGACTGCAGCAGTCAATCTCAGAAGTCATTTAAAGAGGAGACGTGCCTTAAGGGGTGGGAGCGTGGTTAGCACAGGCTTGCAGCACTGGGGTGCTGTCTTTGTGGTGTTTTTATGTTCTCCCCGCAGTCCACAAACATACGCTCACACCAGGGTCAGTCTTCTAGAAAATAACCTGCCAGCACATCTTTAAACTGTGAGAGGAAACCCATGTGAACACGGGGAGAACATACAAACTCCACACAGATAGCACCTCAGGTCCTAAATTGAACCCAGGGCCCCAGCGCTGTGAGGCAGCAATGCTAACTGCTATGCCACCCTGCTTTTGTGTACTTAATAATCAAACTGATTTTTGTGTAAATAAAGGTAAACTCACATTATCACAAAACCAAAAGTATAACAGTGTTTACACACCTAAACATACGTTTGTGTAAAAAAAGGAAGAAAAAGTCCTCCGGTTAGGCTTAGATGCTAAATATTTAATAGACATTACAAACTGCAAGTTATATGGGACTTTGTAAATACACTGTGTTGTTTTAATTTTAATGGATACCTTCTAGTCAGATCACATCAGATCTCGTGAACTATACAAGGCTGGGCATGGGCAGTACTGAGATGGAACACCTTTAAGGAAAACCAAGTCGCTGCTGTGAATTGTTGGTGGACCATTAAATAGCAGCCTTACCCTCTGGAACATATTTCCATACCACTGTCCTAGAGTACTTACTGGGGAAAGTATGCTGTAGGATGTGACATGCTTTGAGTGAGACATTAATTTAAGATCATGAGTAACTTAGTTATTAAATATCCCATGGCACTATTTGTTAGAGCAGGAGTGTTCACAGTGCCATGGCTAAATTCAGCCCCGGATTTGTGTAACCTGTCTTTTTTCAGGTCCCTTTAATTCAGTCGGTGTAGTCATTTCTCACTCCTCTACCTGTTCTGCTCCTGCAGACGCACCATGTCTACTGTGTCTTACCCAGGTGGTTGCTATACTTCAGTCTTGTGGCGTCCACAGTGGCCACCATCTTATATATAATGTTAGCACAAGAGATTCATATTTGCAATACAAATGTCAACATTAACTGTTGTAATATGTAAAATATGACTAAAATCCAGGCCTCTCATGTCAGTCTCTAGAAATATACAATTCAATTCAATTTATTTTTATATAGCTCCTTTCACAACAAGGTTGCCCCAATACAACCTTAACAATACAATTGACGATACATTTTGTCAATACAGAACAGAAGACAACAGAGGAGAGGAACCAAAAACTCCTTAGTAAGGAGAGAAAAAGGTCCAAGGTCAACTGGTTGCCCAACCACTTTGGGCATGCTAACATTATATAATTTAAAAAAGGAAACATTGAGGGTATTAATCCATCCATCCATCCATCCATCATGTCTTCTGTGTGTTAGTACTCCATGCAGATCTCTGTAGACCAGTAAATTCCTCCCAAACAATAGCTACTGTATATCCATGATGTCCCTCTTGGATCCATGGCAGTGATGCAGCATCCAACTCAGATGGTACCCAGCCTGGGCACCATCCGGACGTGTGGGGAGGAGAATAGGATAGTCTGGTCAGAACAGATGTATCTACCTGGTGGGCCAACATAGAGACACACAATGGCATGTACAGCAGCACCAGCAGCAATGGTTGCAGCAGGCTATAATGTAAGGTGTGAGTAGGCTAGGTTGAAGTAATAGGTCTTTTGTCTGGATTTGAATACTGAGGTTGAGTCAGCATCCCAAATATGGGGTGGGAGACTGGTCCATAAGCTAGGGGCCCTGTAACTAAAGGCTTTACCGCCAACTGTGTTTTTATTAATTTGTGGAATATGAAGAAGAACTGCATTCTGTGATCTAAGCAGGCGACTTGGATGGTATATATTAATAAGTTCCATTAGATAGACAGGTGTCTGACCTCTGAGAGCCTTGTAAGTAAGTAGAAGTATTTTGAAGTCCGCCCTGTACCTGACAGGAAGCCAATGAAGAGAGCTGTATGGGGGTTATATGGTCGTACTTACAATTCTAGCTTCTGGAATTTAAATTCGCTGTAAGTTGTTGAAAGAGTGGTGGGTGCTTCCTGATAATAGGGCATTGCATTAGCCTAACCTGCTTTATACTGTACAAGAGCGTGTGTTAATTTCTCTGTGTCTTGAGTGGAGAAAAACTGCTGTAGTTTTGCAATATTTCTTAATAATAATAATAATAATTGCTTACACTTATATAGTGCTTTTCTGGACACTCCACTCAAAGCACTTTACAGGTAATGGGGACTCCCTTCCACCACCACCAATGTGCAGCATCCACCTGGATGATGCGACGGCAGCCATAGTGCGCCAGAATGCTCACCACATATCAGCTATCAGTGGGGAGGAGAGCAGAGTAATGTAGCCAATTCATAGAGGGGGATTATTAGAAGGCCATGATTGGTAAGGGCCAATTGGAAATTTGGCCAGGACATAACTGTAGGAAGTATGTTTTAGATACTGTTTTAACATGAGAGTTAAATGTGAGCCTTGTGTCTAATATGACGCCTACGTTACGTGCTGAGTCACTGAGTTACAGTAAGTGCTGAAGTTTTAGTAGTCCTATCAGTATTGTTTCCTCCAAACAAAAGAACCTTAGTTTTATCAGACTTAAGTAACAAAACGTTTTCACACATCCAAGTCTTTACTTCATTAATGCAATTAAGTGATAATAGAAGAGTCGTCATTTGGCGTAAACAAAATGTATATTTGCCTCTTATCAGCATATGAATGAAAGTTAATATTATGTTTTCGTATTATCCTACCTAGCGACAGCATGTAGATAGAACAATATTGGTCCCAGCACTGATCCCTGTGGTATCCCAAATTGAACTGGTGACATTGATGAAGCAGTTCAATTATTAGATATTTGAACATAACGAAAACGATCACTTAAATATGAAGTAAACCACTTCAGGACGGTTCCAGATAAGCCAACCTCAAACTCAAGCCTGTGTAACAAAACAAATATACCAGATAGTCTCAGTGAATTCACTCTCTCTTTGGACTTGCTTAAGGCCAAAGCAGACCCATTGCAAATGGAAAGGTACAGCCAGGCTTTTAGAATCAGTAATGAGTGAAAAACCTATCGCCCTTTCATTTCAAGGTCCACCTGAGGGGCACTCACATCTTTTAGACAATTTTGTTTGTGTTTCCTGGGAAATGTTGAATCATCTTTGCTCTACAACATCTTTTCTTTATATGGTACAGGTAACCTGTCCAGGAGTGGTACTCACAGATCAAGAGGATATATACCTCAGTGTCTGTATCATGGGGAAATACCAAAAGACAAAGTGTCTCCCTCCCATCTTTCCTTTACTATTCCATGAAAAGTTAAACTTTGAGAAGGTAAGAGTACTTTTTATGTTGCATTGCCTTAGTTTTATAGAGTGCCTTTCACATTCAGGCAGGCTTCTGAGTCATTAATGAGTGAAAAACCTGTCACCCTTTCATTTTACGAATTTAAATTGTTCAGTTTCTTTGGTTTACGTCCTCATATATACAGTATGCTCAGGCATTTATTTAAAAACCATTAATAGATATCCCTTTCAGCAGGGAGACATCTGGGAGTCCTCAAAGCCTATCCAGGGGTTCCCCAGAAACATTATTCTCAATGTTGATTTTCTGATGATGAGCTAGTGGATGGTTATCTTTTGTTCTGCTTTTAATATTTTAATACTTCATAGTAAATGTTTTGTAATAATTATAGGCCTCCATTTGGTTTTACATTGAAATTGGAGATCCTTTTTGAGTCATGTTTCCCGAAAAGAGGACCTCCAGTCACAAACGTTTTAAAACTCCTGATGTGAAGACTGTTCACACAGATACATTTAAACAAAAACAGGAAATAAACACCATGAAAGAGGAATATAAAATAAGTCTCTTCCTCATACCATCCACTGTATCATGCTCCCCCATCACATCAACAGCATGTCCTGTTAAATAGTTTAGAGCCAATGTTATCTTGTCTTGCATTATAAAGTGGACAGTATTAAACTTGTCCAAGTCTTTGTGGTTTGTGGAGAGAAGGTTGTATACACACAGAGTGCAAACAGAGAGTTTCGATCCCCCGGGTTAGATATTACTACTGTACCTCACCTACATTTTCTCCAGCTATGCCAAGTGTATAAAGTGGTACAAAAATAGTCAGTGGTAAGCAACTGTGCATAAAAATGTCCGCTAAATGATAATGATTGTGAGTGACATTTACAGAATACTGCAGTTTCAAGAACACAGCTCCTCTGAACTGTGTGTTTATCTGTAGCTTGTGAAGTGAGTGCCTTGGGCTTTACATCGTAAGTTTAAAAAGTGGGGAGATTAATGGTAACACAAAACAAAACAATTACTATACAGATGCCTAAAACACATTATTATTCTGTATTGTTTTTGGTACCTTACTTGTTGGTCTTAATAGAAGTACCCTTAAACTTTTTTTTTATTAGAAAAATCTCCATACTGTACATGTTATTGTTTTTTCAAAGGTCTTTGCAGATGCAGTAGACCCAGGGGACATTGCTGAGCTCCTGGAATGTGAGTTATCTCCTAAACAGCATTTTCAATTTTGAACTTTGTAATACTTAAGCATTATTAATCCAAATTCTTCTTTCCTCTTCTCGCAGTGGATACAACCTCATTTGAACTCATTCAACTTGTTCCACCAGGTACCCCACTATGTTTTCATTTTTGTAACTAAATTTAGACTGGACCTATATAAATCTTCTTTTGTTGCCGTCACTTCTGCTCAAATATGTATTGATTAATTCATGGCACGTTCTGCCTTTAGTGTCTTGAATGTTAAATTGGATGTTATTTTACAATTTTTTTAATATTATTTTTGTCAAACACAGGAGAGATGTCCATATAGCTTAGATACGTTGCCAGTGCAGGTGAATCTTTTTAATCCTTATGAAACAAAATGATCAGACTCTGTTCTGATGAGAACATTTTGTGCATTTCCATTATTTCTGCAGGTGCTCCCTCCAAAATAGTATGTGCTCACAGAGTTACCATAGTTTGATCTACATACTGTGAAAAATCTGGACATTTTTTATTTATTTAATGACTTTATGCTCTCCCCTGATGAAACCCATAATCTGACACCTCCATTCTTGATCTTTTCTGTGGATCTGTCCTTATATTCATGCTGAGTACTCTTGTTTTTGTAGTAGGGGAAACCTTAGCAACGCTTGTGGAAAATACACGGGAATTCCTGTATCCTGGCCCAAGGCTGACCCCCAGATACCCAGGTTCTGAGAGGGAGATGCTAATGAAAAGATCTATATCTTTTCCTGTAAGTCTATATCTGGGACTGTTTGAACTATTGAATGCGCTTTAATTTAGCTAACGAACACCCTGTGTGTAGTTTCTCTTGACAGTCTTGACTGTCCTGTTAGTATCTGTTAGAAATAAGAATGAGAATCTGATAGAATGAAGAAAGAGAGAAAGTGAAATGAAGAAGCTTACTGCACGTGGAATAAAAAAAACAGTAAAAAAAAGGTCTGAAGACTTCACCTACAAATTTCAAATATACTGATTTGTATACATACATCTTAGTAGTTTTCAGGAATTGCTTTCAAATATATCACCAGAACAGCTATATTATCATAGCACAATTTCTGCAGAGCACAGCCAATAGAATATGCATCAGTTTTGAAACAAGAAGAAGCAGGATGTGTGTTATGAAAGGGTTAATCCACAACGATAAAGATAGAATTTAAAAAAACTAGAAAATCCGACTGTGTATTTCAAAGAAGAGGCATTCTTATCACTTACAGAGTAGTCTTTCAAAAAGCATGGTAACTAATAGCTAAAAAGGCAAGAGCATGACGAGCACAATACAATATGTGTATTTTTTGGTAAATATGTATGATAGATTGCTCTACACTGGACTGGTATCCCATCCAGGGGGTATCTTGCCTTTTCCCCATTACTTGCCAGGAGGCTTCAGCTCCTCCGCGAACGCCCCCTCTATTGGATAAAGAGGCTAGGAAAAGGATTGATGATAGAAGAAGAAGAAAAAACTGACATTCATAGGAATATGTTGAAATGTAGCTGAGCCTTTACCCCCAAAAAGAGATAAAATGCCTCAATGCACAAATACAGCTGTTTTGACTTTGAAGAGCAAGGCGTTTAATGGCAGTCTTGCCGAGCAGACATGTAATTTTGTTAACAAAGCTGCAATAGGAGTCAGAGCTTGAACTCTACAAATAGGCCATAGTTGATTTTAAAGATGCCACTAAAACACATTTTTTGCTTGTCTCTGTTTGCATTTATGTTGTGCATTTTTTATTTGTGCATCAGTTTAATTACTTGTCTTTCCCAAAGGGAATCGCTCCCAAGGTGGAATTCTCAACAGTATCTGTCATTAAGGAATGTGATTTGAAAGAGACCATGCAAACACCCTCTGTAAGTAAATGTGTTTTTCTAATCACTGCTCAAACCTTTTATTGTTGTGGAATCACTGGAAAGATTCTTTATTCAGCGCTGTGTCAGACAGGAATCGGGATAATAGAATATTAAACGCAGCTGTCCACTGCTTAGCAACCTTAAAAATCTTTGTGCATAACGTTAAATGCCAGTTCACCTACTGCTCTTTCAATATTTAATTCTATGCTTTCAGTTTATAATTTTATGAAGCTGGGTCTAGGTAACAATGAAATGTAGCTGAATACCAATGTGCTCTATACATGATACATGTTTTACCCAGAAAGTTAGCTTGAGAAGAAGACAAACATGCATGCTTCTTTTCTGAATTCCTACTTAAAGTGAACAAACTGAGGGATAATTGGTGCAGGTTTATGTACTGCAGTCCGTGCAGACTAATGGCAGTGAGTGGGAAATCAGTGAATGTAGAAAAACAATGATACACTCTTTGGAAGAAACGCACTTACAGCATTGAAGTATGGGGTATTGCTGGCATACCTGAAGTTTCAAGGTGAGTGCTGAAATTAAAATGCTTTGTAACAAAATATCCTTGATATTTTAATCAAGCCTGTGGTAGGTATGTGCAGTAGACTTGATTTTTTTACTACAGTCTTCTTTAACTGCGGTAGTTATCTTTCTTCAAAACTTTAAAATGGAAGAGAACATATTACAGAATATGGCAGTGATCTTTCAGGAATTAAAGCTTTGCTACAGCTAAAGACGTTGTTGTTGTGTATTGTTTTTTAAATTTAGAGACTCGATTCAAATCTGCACTGTGCAATCTTGGGTCAGACTGCAGGGCTCATTATTAGAGCTGAATGATGATACTTGAACACTATGAAGAGAAGGGATAGCCTGTAATGACCCCCAAAGAGACCTGAATGAGTGCAGAAATCAAAAGATACAGAATTGTGGCATCACCAGCACCAAAAGTACTAAAAGATACCTGGGACTGACATTTAACCAGCAGGTTTTACAAAAGTGAGGACTGTTTTCCTTTTTTTTTAAAGAAATCCCTAATGTGATACACAATGACAATTCCTCTACCTAAAAAAAATAATAAATGCATTTTCTGATGAACAGTATTTCTGATAGTTTAATAGTTTCACATGTAAGCATTTATCCGGGTGATATTCTGTATACTAGAGTTTTGCCTTGTACTGTATGTTTCCATCTTTTGATGTTTTATTTTTCTTTTGCCAAATCTTTTGACTACACAGACTATTCATTTAAAACTGTTTTTGCAGTGCATTTGCATGTGTTTGAACAGGGCTTCATGTCTCGTTTAATAAGCTACTTGTGGCTCTGTGCTTTGTTGTTTCAAGGACAACCAGCTTTATCACCCATTACCAATACCAGTACAGGAGCTAATCTCATCAGAGCACCAAGGCTCAGGGTATAAAAAGGCTGTGGGTATAAAAGGGCTCTTTGTCTTCTAACCAGAAGAAAAAAAAGAATGAAAAGCAGAAGGAAAAAAAAAACTACTTAAAGTTTAATTTTATTAAATCTGTCTACTTCAAATAGCAATCTCAATCAGGATTTATTTATTCCACTTTTTAAAATGAGTTAATATGCTGGGATGTTCCAATTAGCATTTAAATTATCTTTATTTTTATAGCCATGTAATGTCATTATCATATTATGCTGGAGCCGGCCATCAAATGCAATTAACATTTTTTTAAAAACTTATTTATCCTTCATCGCCTGCAGGAAAACAGTTATTGCGACTCAAAATTATGTTAGCTGGCTATTGGAATTATTGGAGTCATTTGCCAAGAAAGGAATATTAGTACTCAGTAGAGCTGGGGGGAGGGAGATTGCTCAGAGTTAGCAGGGCTAAAACTTTCTGTTCAACACCTTGTGGCATAAACTAATTCAGGTGAGACACATTTCTTAGTAATAGCTGCTATTGTAAAGCAAACTTTTAAAGAAGTGTGGGTATAGAAATTATATGTTGTGCCATAAGCTTTTAAACCTCTGGGAGATTACAGCTTTTGACTAAGATATAAGAAGAATATCTGGAAAGGAGCCCAGCACTTGGAGACCCAAAGATGTGGAAAGGAACAAAGCCAGACCCCCCCTATCAAAACTAATATCATAGTCATAGTTGTTGTTTATTGTGTTTTGTTTGGAGCACAAGTCTAATGTTTAAGACAAATTTAATTAGCCTTTCCATACTTAGCGCCACAAAACACAAACCAAAAATGCAGCTAAAATATTCCTGAGGCATCAAACATCTCTGAGTAAGATCCAAAGGTATTGTTTAGTAAGCATAAACACAAAGGTTTTTTTTTGCTGCCTTACTGTATAGAAAAACAGTTTACAACATTTCTAGCCAGCATTTTTGCTTTTAGTCTTATCCTTTTACGGAATATTTTATCAAATATTATCCAAATAAGTAAAGGTTAATTCCACCCTGAAAAACACAACGAAAAGTCTTTCAGAAAACGTATTTCAGGAGTGTATAAGGAGACTCCACAGCATAAATGTTGTTTCTCCTTTCTATTTTTCAGTGTGGAATTAATTTTACTTTTTATTTTGCAGTCCAAACATGCTGAAGTGGCTCCCCACTTGAACATAATATAATATCGTTTGATCTGTCTTCCTTCAAATAGCCCATTTTTCCAGTTGTTCAGAATTACTTTTCAAACTTACTCCAGGATCAAGGAAATAATAACATTAGTGCAGTTGGCAGGTCTAAAAACCTGCCCCCACCTGTGGTGTAGTAGTAATGTTTTTCAGTGCCAGAGCACTGTTTTGTGATCATGTAATAAGCACTTAAAGTTTACAAGGCTGAACACCTTGTAGGTGGGCACCATTTTCTGATTGATTCAAAAAAGCCATATACAGCACAGACTTCTGACTTTAAATCCCTAGGGCATTTCTCTAAAAGAGTAGGGGTGATACCCCAGTGCCGTGGCAAAACTTTCCCCTGGCCCCACTAACAGCTGATGTGTGGTGAGCGTACTGGTGTACTTTGGCTGCTGTCGCATCAGCCAGGTGGGTGCTACACATTGGTGGTGGTGGCGGAGAGTCCCCATTACCGGTAAAGGGCTTTGAGTGGAGTGTCATGAAACGTGCTATATAAGTGTAAGGAAATTATTATTATTATTATTATTATTATTATTATTATTATTATTATTATTATTATTATTATTTTTTGGGTTGAAAAGCAAAACAGTGTGACCATTCATTTCAACTAAGGTAATCTGATGCTGTTTCTCTAAAGAAAAAACAACGGTACCGGTATTTGGAGAATATCCTTTGAAGAATGAGCTGGGATTTCTCTGCTTAGATTTACTGTAGCCACTGTTAACCTTAATGTTGATAAAGTACTTCAGAATTCTTATATGGCACACTGATCTTTTTTATAACTTACTGTATATGATCATGTACGACACACTTACGGTAGTTGACATCTGATCAAAAAGGGAATGAATATCCATCTTAATTTATTGTGCATTTGTTTATTTTTTAAGTGTTTTTAGAAAACTATGATAACCATTTTTTGCTTGCCTTCAAATCAGTTGTCTCCTGTGGTGAAAGTATTTTTTTTAAAGTGCCACTACATCACTGTAGTAAGGATACAGGTTGTATAAAGGTTGATAATCCAAGATATGTTAGATAAACTGGCAATAAAATCAAAAGCTTGTGGTTTGGGGCCTTAGTACTCTCAGAAGTTACTGATTTTGTAAGGCCCTGATCACATCTTTTGTTTGCTGAGAGATCAATGGATTCTTGAAGTCAGCAAAATCTGGAAATAAAGTGTCTTGAGTTGTAACATCTGTTCTGGTGTTCCGAAGATAATCACATTAGGAGTGCTATCACATCTGAGTCTTTTAAATATAATTTGGGAATAGAGTTCTTTGATGTATTCTGAGCTAGAATAAGTGACAGGACCCTGCTTGAATTTTGTACTGCAAGGCATGTGCTTGAGGGAGTGTACTATGTGAAAATATTGTATGCATTTCTATAATCCCATCAAACAGCTGCAAGAAAAAAATCTAACCTCGTCCTCTTCACAGGTGTCTAAAACCCTACTTTTTTTTTTCTTCAGCCCTGTCGTTCCACGCCATTGAAACCCCGCTCTGGCAGGGGAATAAAGAAGAGCCCTTGCTCGGCGGACCAGCAGAGCCCTTCAGTCTGTCGGTACAAGCAGCCGACAGTGGCTTCCCAGTCACGGTCCCCCTCTCCGTACACGAACAGACGTATGTGCGAGCTGTCAGAGGAGGCCAGCCAGCGACTCAGTCACCTAAACCTCGGGCCCTACAGGTTCAAGAAAGAAACGGACAGCCAGCCTCCCTTCGTGGTGCGAAACGTGGGTCTTAACTCTTTAGTCCTTCGTCTTGGTCAGTCTGCTTAGCATGATCTGCTGCCTCTGACACGGCACAGGTGTTATTGAGTTGTTCCAGGAAGAAAAGTGATTTAAAATCAAGGCTCTTTATTATCTGAAAGGGGGCAGCAGCAAACAATATGAAGAGACCCAAAAACAAACTATGCACTTGTACATACTGTACACAAAAGAATCGTTTGTTAAACTAGGATATAACAAGAGGTATAATGAGAACTGTAACCTATCTATTTTTAATTTGGGAAATCTGTGTCTGCATTCTGAGGGGACTAATTGGAATTAATTAAACAAAGGCCATGAGGGGCCCTCTAGAAAGGAAATGCTGTACACAAAACTTTTCCTTTCACAATGCTGTACACAAATCTGACATAGTTTGACTATACTCCCCAATTTGTCCTTACTAGTCCTTGATTAAGATTCTCAAATCAACAAATCAGGGTAATTAAAGTGGATGCAATAAAAGACTGATTTAAACTGATAAAACATGAACAACAAATGAATTATCAACCTTAAAATGTTTAAGCTTCCTTTAATGAAACTATAAGTTGTTCCCCCTTTCTGCCATCTCTTTAGTGATTCAACCCTGATGCAGGTTTGAGTGGGGGGTCTGAGCGTTCCTCCTTAAATCAATTGCCATGTCTTTTATCTTTGAAACTTCAAAGTTTTGTTCACACCAAGTGGCAAATTCATCTACCACTGGCCCATGGCCCATCATCTGCTTGCTACGAACAATAACTACCATGTGAGGTAATTTAGAATGTAGGACTTTTTCTTAGGAAATGTTTATACTGTTGATAATGTTATAAAGAATTACAATTTAGGGAACCTTATTCCAAAATGAGTTAGAACCAGTTCTTAAAAGTTAAAATGCATCTTTGGGCAAGGTAGGGGTGAAAGAGACTATTGCTGTCTCATATTCATTCTTAACCCTGGGAATTAAAATAAGGCAATCATTTCCTTTCCTTAAATACATTTTCTACATTTGTACTTTGTAGAGAAGCAGTGATTTTGATTATAAATTTTACATTCATAAATGGTTGTACAATTTAAAACAAAACTTAACACAAAATAACTTTTTCTGCTTTGATGCAGATCTAAATTAATTGGCCAACTGTGTTAGGTAACAGTTAGGGCTGGAGAAACTGTGGTTTCAAATCTCAGGTGAGACATTACACCAGTAGGGTTGCATCACTAAGTGGCTATGCATGGAGGTCATCAGTGTGTTCTCATTTTACCCGTCTAATCTGAAATTATTAGTTTTCTTTATATTCATTTAGCATGTCAATAGTAATGGCTGCATAAATTGACAAAGAATGACATGGAGCACAGACCTTGGTGTGGTCAATTGACCTGTAAAACCGATACAAATTAAAGGACTTTTAAAATAACACAGGAGAGTTGTACATTGGATTCTAAAAACAATGCTGTATCTCATTATCCATTTTTGAAGACTTAAAAAATTGCCAACAGTTTTCATATAGAAGGGCACGAACGAACCCATGCCTCCTTAAATCTTTTGGGAAAGAGAAGTCTGCTGGATGGCCGCTGGTCTTTATCAGTTGGTCTTATACCTTACTTCACTCACCCTTGAAATAAGAGTGATGTAGATGTTTCATGAATGGTTTGTAATTCCACAACCGGTCTCCGACCATTTCTCATCTTTCAGATGGATAGGAATAATAGATGCATGAATAGAATTCTGCTGTGGTGGAAGTATTGCTAGTGACAGAACAGGAATTGAAAAGAGCAAAGCAAAATCCTTTATTAAGGAGCATTTCCTTGCTTTTATGAAAAGATGCATGTCTTTTTAAAATCTTTGGGGGTGAGGAATGTGGACTGAAAAGATGGTTATTTCACTTGTTTTAATGAGAAAACTTGGGAGCATGCTTGGCAATTAAGGAGTAATAAATCAAACAAGAGTGAATACAACTAATAACTCTTAAGCAAGTATTTCTTTATTTTTCAAGTGTAAGATCAATCTACACTTAAGCAGATTTATCTCAAAAATCAGTTTACATTGTTTGCTGCTTCAGTCTGGGCCAAATTTAACAGCATGATATTTACTGACATATCAGCGGAACCTTTTGGCCTAAAACTGAAAGGAAATAAATACACCGTTATTTATGAGATTTTATTTTATCTCCCTGGATCATACCACTTCGATTTCTAAGTCTTATTTCAAGATAATTACCCCTCTTCTCCATATCTGCATTACTCAGACATCCATGAGTTTTAAGATTAGTCAGTCACTTTAAAGAAGCCACAATAACAAAACTTTTCAGTCTTAAACTAGTTGGTTTGGCACTAGTTCCTAAAAAACAAGGCTGTTGGTGTCTAAGGATTTGACTACATACTCTTTGGTGCAGAAAGCCAGATCTATTTCCTACATTTGCAGATATAGATTATATTGTTAGGGCCATTTTTAATTTTTGTAAGCTTTAATGGCAAATGTCTAGAATAAACTCCACCCCTACCAAGGTGGTGGTGTGTGCAGTAACTTAAGTTGAATTTAAGAGGGTAGTAGGCAGTGCTCCATATAAGTGACACACATCAAGTAATAAAAGAATGCAGATTATATAACCAATGGATCTGCTCCATATTTATTGCAAACTTCATATCTAGTGTATAGATAGCAGGATGATTTGGAGCGATCTGTGCTTGATTTTAAAGGAAGACAGAGCCCATTTCTGTCACACTTACCTTTAGTTTGTGTATAGAGTGTACTTGTACAAGCAAGCCACACATTTCTGCATTGCTTTGTTCATTGCTTTGTGTATTACAAGAAGATCATATTGGATGTTGAAAATAAAAAAAAACATTTTGCTGTCAATTTATTAAGCTAGAGAACACTTCCAGCCAACCTTCATAAATTTTGTTTGGTTCAGAGATAGGATGCTTGATTCCTTGTCTGCAAAGATAAATAAGGAGCACAGCGGTGAGATGCTTTGTGTGTGCATTGATCATGAACTGTAAATAGCAGCGACAGAAATTATCTCTGTGGTATCCTTCTATATTAGGCTCAGGACATTGGGTATATTCTTCATACACTGCACACTCATTATGTAGTTTCAGAAACCTCATAAACTATGAAGTTGTGTGTTGTTTTGCTTATAATTAGGTGTAGTAAACCCTTTATTTATTTCTTCCTTATAGCACAGCACCTTCTTTCCTTTTTATCACAATGCAAATTATTTCGTATTTAAATTTTCACATATTGTTATCCTTCATGCAAGATTCTAATATAATGTCGAACACTTCAATAATTCAGTTAAAAGTTAAAAGAGGCTACACAGTGGTTCAGACATCAAAGACTCTTGTCTGGAGCTCCTGTTGAACTCTGAATCCTGGAGTTGTGAGTTTGGGCCTGGTTCATGTCATTATCGTGACTGTGACCAGAATTTACCAAGCAGTGGCACTGTTGTTAGAGCAGCACCAGGGTAAAGTTGGGATTACTCTCAGCTTTCCAGAAAACTGCACCCTACCAGGAGCCCACAATCATGCAAAGACATCCGTGGGATATGAACAAAATCAGGCACTGTGGAGTTACAGCGTGTCAAACGATGGATAATCCTGGACTTGGGCACTTTGGAAGAGCGTCTACATCTGTCATTCTCTCCCTAGCCACACAGAAGTTGATGCCAGAGAAATTAGTCTTGAAACCAATTGGCAATTCCCAATTGGGTTGTTACAAATTTGGAACAGTAGGTTATCTTTTTATTATATATTATTTATTTACCTTGTACTGAATACAGTAGTGGAAGTCAAATTAACTTGGAGGTTGCTTCAGTAAACTTTCCACTTTATTGTTCTTCTTAAACACTTAAAAGAGTGAAATTACTTTTACCCCATATTGTTTGGATTAATTTTAATTTAGGCCTATGACTCTCTTTTTTTTAATATCTGGTCTGGAATTAAATGAGAAAGTCCTTGGGTGTAAATATCAAACAGTCCATGTTATTAAAAAGATTTGAATGTGTTAGAGAGATATTTTAGAATGGCATTTTATAAAATATAGCCTTTAAAAATGAACGTTTTAAAATAAATCTCAGGGCTGCAATTAACCTAGGTAATTAGAAGTCAAACCCTAATTAACAAAACAGTTCATTAATGAAGAAGCTTAGCCGAGCGAATGCATTATCGATGTGTGTTTAAAGTGTGTGCACTTGTTTATGAGCAAGCAAATAGCTCATTTCATTACTGAGAGTGATAATATTGCCGTTTAATTGGTGTGCTGCCTTTTTAATTGAAGCCAGTGGCAGTTATATAAGCACCTGTATTCAGTGGGAAAACTGAGCTGCTTTTCAAAAAACGTTGTCTCCTATTACCCTTTAAGTTCTTTCAGAAAGATAACAGGTATTAATTTTTTTAATGAAAGATTGATAATGAGGGTTCGTTAAACATAGTCTTCAGTGCTTTGTAAAATTGTTGATATACTGGGAGTTATGATAAAGTCCTTTGCAGTAGTAAATCCAAAAAGGCTGGAATTTATCAATTTTTGTTGCATTAATTGAGTCCAAGACTACTGGACATTAGTGTTTCACAGGTTAACCACCAGCAGTGTTGATTGGGTGGACTGGAGCATCAATTAAGGTGAAGCTTCTATACTACGTCCTCCTTGAGTCCAGTGCACTAGAATTATACATTTGTACATAAATGTCGATTGTGTTCCCTTTTGTACTGATTAATATTAAATTAATTTGACCACCAATTTAATGTACCCGGGCTGGTTACACCAGCACAAGATTATGCAAGATTACCTATAGGAAGATAACTAACTTTCTAGTGATCCTTAACAAAGAGCAAAGCTTAGGCTAAGCTGCCTGCATTTCTAGCTACTGTACCTGCTACCTTAGCATTTCATTGCTCTCGTGCATATGACAAATGAACTGAACTGAACATCAGGAAGAATCATCAGGAGGAACATCAGGAAGAAATGCATTTTTAAAATGTTTGCAATGTATTGATGCAGCTCACAATTAAATATCTTGAAATGCCGTAGGGTGTGCTTAATGGGAGAAGAACAAAGTGCATGCAGGAATGAATATTTCTTCAGAGATCACGCGCTGTACTAATATTATATTAATGAACATCTAATGCTGAAAAGACAAAGATCAGGATGTGACCAGGTGTAATACTGGAGATTTTGTTAAAATATTTTTGCTGATAAATACCCATAAAACCTTTCCTATTATTCATTTTCTTTGCAGAAAGTTATTATTTGATTTAGTAAATTGCTCTGTTTTTTATGGTTTAGTTGCATGTCAGTATAAATGTCCAGGTATACCCAATTCCAGTGTCACACCCAGATGAACATTTCATTCTGGCATATGGATATTTTAAGACAAGCAGTAAATGTCCAATGGATGTTAAACATCTAAAAAGATATTTGCTGCGAGCAAAGGAACATCCAAGTTCACAAAAACCTGAAAAGACACTGATCTGACAGTTAAGTCTGAAGCAATGTTTGCAGTCATATTCTGCATCTTTGGCAAACTTTTGTCTGCAGAACCATGCCTGCTTGAAGAAACACAGAATGTGTGCTGTGCATGACCAGTCTTTGAAGTCAGCTGTCAAAAATTAGCAGATGTCAATGGACATCAGGTAATGATGCTTGTAGTCCATATATTACTTCAAGCTCGGGCTACGATCATGAGCTGATAATGACCAGGACATAAGCATTTGTGCAAAACAATGGGCCAGGCTATGAGCTAGCCAGAGTACCCTTCGTTTTTGGTTGCCAATCGTCTGGAAGCCCGTGAGATTGTAGTATTATTAGTGGAAGCTGCATCACACTTTCTTTTGCTGTTCTGCGTGTAGTGTAAGGAATGACAAAAGGCTTCACATAGCAGGATTTAGAGTGAAGCATGCACTATCCTCAAGATTCCTTCTACATGAGCATTACTGGGAGATGATTAATACTCAGGTTTCAGAATTGATAGGTATAAAAGTTTTTTATTCTTCTGACATATTTCCTGTAGCAATTGGTTAAAGGAATCAAAATAATTTTCCTGTAATTATATTGGTAAATATTGCTTAAACTAAAGGTTCTTTTCCTTGCACCACTACTAAGGTGCTGATTTTTTTTTTCTTGTTCCAGGTTAGTAGTAAGCAGACATCCTCGATGAACGACTCTCTGTCTTACCGCACCCCATCCACAAAGAAATCCCTGCGAACACCAGGACTGAATGTTTGTGAAGGTGTGTCTGTGTTTAAAGTAAAACATTTATTGACTGTCTCCACTCACAAGTGAATGTGGATATCGTTAATTACTGCACCTATCATTTTATTGTCACTTCTGCATTCTAAATCGAGAGCATCCACTGTCAATGAATGTGAAAATGAAGCATATAAACATTGCTTGCAAAACAGGCTTGGTTGCACAATATTGAGAAATCTGATATTTAATTTGATTAAAGTGTTCCAATTTCCTAAAACATACTACTAAAACATTTTTTCTTTTTGCTTTTCAATGTAAAATTAACCTCTACTTTTTCCTTTGTATGTGAAGTTGTGTACTGTACACTCAGTTCCATTCCTAATTTATGATAATTCAAGGAGAAGGATACTACATGCTTGAAATTCCAAACTTAACAAAACAGTGTTTTGATTAGCTTTCAGAAGGTACTCTTTTTTTAAAACACCTTATATATTTTTTCTTTCTACAGATCCCTCTCTCCTTGGCAGCTACAGACCAAAGACTACTAGAGTGAGTTTTCCAGTATGCTTTCGGTTTTAGTTGGTAACCAGGATTTCAGAAGGAAAACTTGTTCATGCGCATGAATGATGTAAATGGGTATTAATAAACTCTTACCATTTCACAGTGCTGAAAAAGGTGTAACTGTTTAAAACAACGTATGGTTCCGCCTTCGGCATATATAAAATCAAAATCAACAGCCATGGACAGCTGTTTCGCCCATGTTGGGGCATCAGCATGTCATTACTAAATATCACCGGTGAAAAAGACATGTAGTATACAGGTGTCTTGCAAGAAGCATGTTTCAGTTTTATGGTGCATTTTAACAGCATGTACTCAAAAGATGGCGGCACAATGAGCTAATTAATATGCAGTCACATAATACATAGCTACTGCATGCTGTTTAAACTCTCCATAAACCTGAAAAGTTTTGTAAATCTATATTGGCAAAATATAATATGAGGTCAAGTGAAAATGCAAATATTTTGAATGGAAAAAGTGGAAATAAATGTGACAGATTCAGTCACAAAAACGCTATGTGCATGAGCACCTGATTGGCTTATTTTAACCTAACTAATTTACCAAAGCATAAAATATTACAAGGTAGTGTTGCCCTATAATGACAGTGTACAGTACATGCACTAGATACAATACTGCTTACACAGGTAGCACCCCCAATAGAAAGTAAAGGACAAGACAGCCTCCAATTCATGATTCTGCCATCACTTTCATACTAGTGAGAAGGATCTTATCCTCTTGGTCACACAATTGTTTCATAGCCAACCAGGGATTTGGTCAAAGAATTCCTGCAAATTGTTTGCCTGCCTACTGGAATACAAGCGAAAGCTTGTATGTGTTACAATTGCCTGACATCATTGTAATGGTATTTGTACCAGTAGCCTCACATACATCAACATTGTCTACTGGACCAGCACGCCTTTTTTTAATCCAGTGTATTATGGCTGTATTTCACAAGGCCGACCTATGCACTTCCATTTTGTTCTTGATCCCATAGCAGGGAAATCGTCTAATTTTCTGTGGGCCTTTGAGATCTCCCTCCTTGCTCTGCGGCTCAGCCCTGACTCTTTCCAGGTTATCGCAGAGCCCCAGGAGGGATACAGGCTCAGGCCCTCCAGGGGCATGTCTGAAGACACCAGCCTTGAGACTGCAGGTATATGCCGTAGACCCAGGAGGCAACTGAAAGCACATTCCACTCCCTTGTCCACTGTGAAGAGTCCCCCGAGCCCTCTGCTGAATCGATCTTCCCTGAGAGAGAGGTACAGTAATGCTTCACTAGTCAATAAAACATCCCCCCGTGTCCCATGATACCCTTACTCTCGTCTGCAATCCAGACCTCAGGTTAAGTGATTTCTGGCTATATAGCTTTAAAAGCTATTCAAAATATCCTTTTGGTGTTTTGAGAATTGCTTCAACAAGTAGTGATTTGTGCCTTCAGTGCTATTGTCTAGAGATCACTGGTCTTGATTTCAGTTGTGCCAGTAGTTGACTGTGTAGTGCAGTGGTTTTCAAACTTTTTGGACCAAGTACCACCCCTAATCCAACCAAAGCATCCAAGTACCACCTACAAGTCATCATCTCATAGGAACCCCAGAAATTCTCAATGACCAACATGAGTGCGTTTGCACACACACTCACACATACATATAATAAATATTATAATAATAAACTTTGTTTGATATAAAAAAATATGACTTCTCAAAGTGTTTTACAGAAAAAAAACAACAACAAATAAAAATAAAAAAGCACCATTTCAGTGAGAGGGGTGAGCCTGTTTAGTCGAGCAAAGCAGATGTGAATTAATTTTTCGAGCCTTGATACAATTCACAAAAGAGTCTAACAGATTTTAAATCGTCAGGCATTTTCTTGATGGCAAAGGTCTCCCGGTGGATGTTGCAATGCATCCATTAATTTCTGGAGCAACCTCTCTAATTCGTGCAACTACACCGCTGTGTCGGCTTGTCATTGCTCTAGCACCGTCTGTACAAACTCTGACACATCTTATCTAGTCTATCCCATTCTCTTCGATAAATTCATTCAGAAGCTGAAATACGTGCTCTCCTGTAGTTCCTGTGGGTAGCGGCTTACAATACAGAAAGTCCTCACGGGACGTACCCTCAAACTCGTATCTAACGTAAACGAGCAAATTGGCCAAATCGACTACAGACTCATCTAATTGCAGTAAAAAACATCTGCTCATCTTAACGTGCTCTGTCAGCGTACTTTTGATATAAGCCTTCATTTCAATAATTCTGTGAATGACTGTGTCTTTCGGGGGGGGGCAGCAGGTCGAGCTGTTCAGCAGCTTTTTCTCCACACATAATAGTGTGGGGCTTACCTGCTTTAGCAATACGCAAGCTTGCATTTTTCCACGTTTCCATTTTTATTTCAGTGTTTATTTTAAGTTTTTATTTCATGCGCATGGGAGAGAAACACAGAGAAGCTCGGTGTATTTTCCTCGAATTAACTTAGAACAGTTCTTAAATATTTTTCTGTTATTTTTCACGCTTTCCTGTGCTCACAAGATTACCAGCGTTCGTAGCACGCATTTCTATGCATTCCTGTGTTTACAACGTTGGCATTGTTCCAAAATCACACACATTCTCCTACCTCCCTATTTGCTAGAGATACAGTAGCTTTTTTAAAATACAATTGGTCACTTGCATCCGTAGCACGCATTCCTATAGAGTGGTATAGAATTCCAGAGTATCTCTTGTGTCCACTGAAGTATTAGCGCGCACTGTATCGTAGTACGTAGTACGTGTCGTGTCGTGTATTCGACACGTATAAAAATACAAAATATGAAAACCCGTCCCGATTTTTCAGCGCACACAACACAGTTCCAGGGTCATTTGGCGTACCATCTGGCGGCACGCCGCGTACCACTGCAGGTACACGTACCACAGTTTGAGAACCACTGGTGTAGTGGTTCACAATTGTCTGAGCATTACTGTAGTTAACTGTGGTTTCCTAAGCTCAGTGTATATTAAAGATACCCCCACACCTGTCACCTTGTGTTTTCAGTTGAATCAGATGTTTCATGTACTGTAGTTCTGCTTTTCATACCATGGCCCACAACAAGAGAATTGGCAATAGGCCTTGGCAGTTCTGTGGCTTTATCACTGCTGTGCGGGTACTGAGAATGTAAGGACAAAAACCTGTCCTTTCCAAATCAAATCGGCTTGAAAAACACTCCTGATTCTCTAAAGATAAATTTGTTTGCATCCAGTCAGAAAATATAGGTTCCTCTAAAGGAACGTAGACATTGGAGAAAAACGTTAACAGTACATCGCAATTTCTAAAACAGCATAAACTATAAAAGCAGTTACGTATCTGCAGTCCAACTCCAGACCATTCAGTCTGTTCTGGTTTGGTCACTTTTACAGGCAACCGAAGTAAGTAATTAAACTAAATTTCAAATGTATGTTAATTTGCTGGTTATGCCAAAGTTCCAGTTCTTTTATCAGCTTGGAAGTTATGGTATTTCAGTATCCCTGTCTTCTTGGTCATATTCAACTACAGGCCATTTTTCACATATGTCACATCTCTGCATACCCTTTGTTTCCCTAGCTCCTTTAGATAAATGGGTTACTATTTTATCTCCATCAGAATCAATGGATCAGGGTGTGACAAATTCTTTAATCGCTCTGTTGCTATTTGCTTTTATCTCATATAGGAATAATTCTAGTTTGAGTGCATCAACATTTCCCTGACTTTTACAGCTGTCCTCTGGGAATAATGCAATTACATATAAGTGGCTTAATGATGCGTAATTAAAAACATCAATTAGATTTCGTATTTTTAATTTTTTTTCTTTATGCTTTCCTCTTACACTGCTGGATTTAGTGATTACAGTCTCTGTTGAGGAGACTATGAGGGGTGTAGGCTTTTTAAAAAATTATAATAGCCTTAAAAAAGCATAGTAGCCTTAAAAAAATATAATACTTTTGCTGCCTGGGTCAAATCACACAACCAGTTTTTATGTGCTTCTGAAATTTGTCATTCTCAGACTGAAACGATTTCCATTTTGTTAACAGATGGAAGGCAGGGAGGGGAGCTCATACCTTATCCCATTTGAATTTCCAATAATGAATTATTGGCTCAATCTCAACCTTATGAAAACACACAAACAAATAAAAGAGGTTGTATAAGTCAGATCTTTATTTCGATCACAATAGGCTACTGAAATGTGTTTCCCCTTTCTTGAAATTACAGGATCTGATGTCTTGTCATGTTTGTTCATCACTTTTTTTTTAAAAAAGGACAGAGAGAAAACAAACTAAAATAGTATTGATTGTGTTTCAGCAAGATTGGTGTGAATGCATTTGACCCAACAAGCGGTTTAATAAATTCTGAGATACCTTGCAATTGATCTGAGCTCTGCAAGCTAAAACTGCATGTTTTTTTCACTTCATTGTAAACATTAAAATCAATAGACAATTTTAAACTGATAAAAACTGAGAAATCTATGATCTTCCTTCCATAAATTGAAAACGCGACAAAAGTCATAAACCTGGAGATTAAAGCAAGTTTATCATATTCTGGCTACAGTAAAGCACGATTTTGGAAATCTCTGATGGAAGAGGAAATGACAGAAACGTGTTACCCTCATTGAGTTGTGGTGCTTTTTTTCTCCATTATTTTAACTCATGCTGTGGTTACATTAAGCCATTTTTATAATGAAATGATATGAGTAACACAGTACAAAGATTAACACTTTATGGTCAACATAAACATTTTAAAAAGGTTTCCAGCAAAAGAAGGAAAACAGCTACAAGAGAAGATTTTTTGTCCATGGTTGATTTTTTCCTAACCAGCTAATCAGGTAGCTGCAAGCTTCAGTTTGAAAAACATCCTCTTTTATACATGTATAAAAGAAAACAGTGTATTACACAGTGCTGCCACTCAAAACAATGGTGCTAACAGAATAGGTGCAAAACCATAAAACTTAATCAAGGGAGTGAGTATGTACCGTGTTATTGAACAGTGTGTAAATGGAAGATAAAGAGGCTAGAATCCTGACTGGAGGGTTTGTGGGTTCAAAACCCAGGGGGACACCACTGCTGTACCCTTGAGCAAGATGCTTTACCCAGACTGCTCAGGCAGTTTAAATTAATACCGAAATGAGTCTGTGAAAAGAAAAATATAGGTAAAGGGAACCTTGTGATGCTTGGATACAAGAGTCAGCTTTGTACAATATATTACAAACATAAACAAATACTGTTTATAAAATATCAATTGATTCAAAATAATACTGTACCCTCAGGAAAGTGTTTTTCTAATGTGAAAATTGGAGACCCAAAACTGTAGAACACAATATCTACAACAGCTGTTCCTAATGTATGAGTAAAGAGGACCTTTTTGTTGGGACACTCAGTTAAGAAAATTCTATTTGAATTACCCAGCGTTCTCTCTGACTTCTTTCACGTGCTCTTTTATCTCCCACTGCCCAGATTGGAGTACGTAGCAACAATGTGTACTATCTGCTAGCTTTGTGGTATCTGTTCCAAATTGTCTGTAAGACTATGCTTATTATACAAAGCTGGAAGACACCGACAGCTTTCTGCATAATAATTTTAAGAGGCGCTTTGCAGATGAGATGCATCAGTTTGGTACTGGTAGTGACAAAGTTTGACATGATAGCAAAGCCTGCAATCAAACAATTTGCGGGAATGTTTCAAAGCATCTGAGGAAATAAATAAATCTCCAAATTTACCTTCTTGTTATATTTGAAGATTTTTTTATCTTACAGTCTAATATGTTACATGGCTAAAAGTATTTATTTAATCTAGGCACTTAAAGAAGTACAGTACAATACCAATTTCAAAAACACAGCTAAAGAGAAAAGCACAAGAAGGAACTACGTCAAATTGCTTTTTCAAACTTCAAGTGAATTTAAAAATGCAGGCCCATGTAAATGTATCACCCTGTGGTAGAAGTTAAAATAAACAGGGCATATATTTCTAAATAAAATAACACACTAATTCCAGCATGCCACTCTGACGAAAAGCAAGGGAGATTTATGTTACATTCCATTCCTTGACTCATAGCAATTTTTTTTGTGTTAAATGTATGCGCATTACATTTTTAAGATATTAAGTACATATCTACGGCACCTTTATGCTGTGTGGCATTTATTTCCACAATTAAAGGCTTTTAAATGACTGTAATTTGTCTAAATCTTATTTAAACAAGACAACAGATCTTAGTAATACTTTTTCAATGATGCATTTATGATTACGTGTTGAGTATCATGCTTAATTGTGAAGTAAATGTGTAAAATGATTTCTTAACATTTAAACTGTTTGTCCATATCAAACTGATATTTTGACTTGAACATTAATGTAGTAAAAACATGCAATGTATTTTTTCTTTTGGTTTCATTATCAACATTTTATTGTTAAAACTCAAACAGTTTGGGTATACACTTCAATACTTCAATACTCTGACCATTAGAGCTGTGCAGAATTTCTGCACCAAAAAGAATATATGTCTTTTTCTCAGCTAAAAAAGATGCTAATCACCTTTTTTCTGTCTCGGTTCATCTTATAATGGTAATTGAAGAACTGGAAAACTGGTACCTTTAAGGTTGAATTTATTTATGTACAGTAGAATACATAAGTATGCAGGAGTTTACTTTGTTTAAAGTAGTGTTTTTTATTATTTCATTATTTTCTTTCATATTATTTATTTCCACTGATGATACTGAGACAAATCAATAAATCAATATTAATCAATAGTGCTTAAATGGCAATCAGTGATTGCAAAGATGTTTTGATGAGAACAGCTTGCAATTAAAAAGCAATTATTTTTGCATCTTCATTTCATAGTTGTAGTGGCAGTATGATTTCCTGGCGGCACATTAATTGTGAGTAGTCACTGTATGTATACATGTGTGTTTGGTAAGGAAGTGAGTCTGTATGTATGTTAGGTGACCTAAAAATGGTCTAATTGCTTCTATAGTGCATTTGGAGACTTAGGGACAGTGGTGATAATGGAAGAAATGCTTTTAAAGAATGTTTTGTGTCTTGGTGCCGAGATCTTGCTTTAATTACTCAGCATGCAGGCATTGTTTGTTCCACCTCTGTTAATGGTGATATGCACTTCAAATACTCAAAATGAATCTCTGGCTCTGGATTCTGAAGGGTAAATCGAGAGCAGAGAGATCATGTTTTTGCACAGGTGCTTGTAAAGCAGCAGTACAGAGTCTATAGCAGGACCACATTGTTTAGTTCTTCCTTTTTTAAGGGTTTTTCAGACTTACTGTCTGTGTTGCAATGAGCTGTTTTTCTACCATACAGCTTGTGACAAATACTCAGTCTTCTAACCCATGTACTTTTTATTTGCATAATTTGAATTACACCTGGTAAAACTATTTGTTAGAAATGTACTTGATGATATACCTCTGTCAGACTAATTGTTTCAAGACTGCCTGGATGATTGAGAGCATTTATTACAGTAGAAAACGTGCATGCATGACATGCCTGAAAATATATATTAAAACATAGATGTTAAAGCTTTTTCTTCTCAATGCTAAAATAAAATGTCTCTGCTTGAATACCTGTGTATGTGTAACCTGTGCTAGGTTACATGCATTTATCTTGCCAGTATAAGTATTGAGATTGCATGACCCAGGACATTGTTACTAATTAAAAAGGAAATTTGCTACATTATAATTCCAAGTTCTTCACATGTGGTTTAATTAGCCTGTCTGTTTGGCTTTTTTTAAAAAACTAGGATGACCATAGCCACGATTTGGTCCATGCAGTGAGAACAGCATTTTATTGACCTTAAGAAGGAATGACTGAGCTGTTTACATCAAAACATCTTAATAGGCCCAGGTGCAAGTTCACATTAAGTTGCAGGGGTTGTATTACACTCTGAAACATGCTCTCATTAAAACAAGGCTTTCCAAGGTTAATTCTCCTCCGTCAGTTATTATCCTGATAAGGATTGCTTCACAGCAAGACCCTTTCCCAAAAGCATACAGAGGAAAGTCGGTACACATGACTGCCCCCTTGAACAGCATGCTAGTCCATCGCTGGGCTGCCGTAGACTGAAACATAGCTAGCATGTCTTTGAAAGGTGAGAGGAAATGAAAACGTTATCACAAGGGAACGTGCAAACTTCTCAAATACAGGTGGGTAGCTGCGTCAGCCTGCGTAGACTGCAAAGGAACAAGTAATAGGTTTATTTCATGCTGAAAAGAAAAGAAAGAAAACAACGTTTCGGCCGTGGAGCCGCCTTCAAGTGTGAGGTAAGAAGAAGAGAGCTCCACGGCCGAAACGTTGTGTTTTCTTTCTTCTTTTTTTCAGCATGGAATAAACCTATTACTTGTTCCTTCTCAAATACAGATGCACAAGTCCAGAATCAAACCCCAGGCCCAAGCACTATACGGCAGCAGGTGCCATGCCAATGTGGGGCCCAGGTTAATTCTTAAGATTAAAAGTTTTCATTCCGGTAAATTTGGCGTTGTCAATCTCCGGAATGTAGTATCATGTGGGTTTCCTATAAAGCTCTTTATGGTGCTTGCAAGTATAGAGGAGGTATGAAGTCACAGCCCGCTGCAGCGAAGGTTGAAATGAGTTTTAATTTAATTACGAAAAGGCAAACTTCTGGAACACACTGCGTCTTTCTCAGTGATCTGAATTCAAGCGTTATCAGGAAGGTTGTGTAATCTGAGCACAGCCCCAGTCATTTTCCAGTACTGCCGTATGCATTAGAACCTATACAAGGGTTTTCCACATCCAGCACACTGGCTGTTTTTGACAAGGCTCCCCGCCTTTCATTTATTCCCAAAATGGCACATACAACTGATGTCTGTTTCTCTGCAAGAGTAAATTTAGGATGAACCCCACGTTCTTAATAAGTAAGAATGAATAATAAACATGAATCTCCAAGAGCCTAATTTAAAGCTGTCCTAGAAATGCTGTGCCAAAAGACATTTGTGACTGTATGCTACTCCTTTGAAGAATTCAAGTGTTTTTAAGTATGTTCTGTACCAACTGCAGATGACTCTGCCATTAAATCTATTCATATTTGTTGGAGTGGGGAAGGTGGCTTGGTGTTTGTAAAAGCTGTGTTAAATGTTTAACTGGAACCAACAATTGCTCAGGGGTGTGTTGATTGAACAAAGCAAAAGGGGCAGTGTTCTGGCTCGTCCCGGCCTGTCTGGAGTGCTGATTCAAAAATGCAAATAACACTTTTTCATGAGTTTCTTAGTGGGGTTAATTTCAAATAATATCACATACAGCTTTTTGTACTGGATAAAAAGGAGAGGTCAGAAACATGTAAGGCAAGTCGGTGATCAAATAAAGACTGCAATAATTGCTACAGGCATAAATGTAAATTATATTGCTGAATTTTAAAATAATCAAATGTAAACCTTGTCTAAAAAATTGAAGAAAACACTGTATACAAATCTACATTGTCTTATACAGTATATCCTCTCCACCCTGCCTTCAATAACCTGAGATGAAATAAAGACAGCAGTCTCTCCAACAGTTCTACCTCTTTCTCTACTTGTGCTATTCTTGGTGCCTGAGCACAGACTAGTGGCGATTAAGCATAATTTCCTATGTTTGATGCAAGAATTCTTTTCATTGAAATCCACCCACTAAGATATATTAGCAATCAGTTAGGCTAAATCTGTTAACTTGTACAATACTTTAAAAGTTAGAATGAATGCTGATTTATTATTAGTTCATTTTATCAGTCTGTTTATAGGAAGATTGTAACCATTCTTAAACAAGTCCAAATTGAAACTCTACTTCTAGATAATAAAGATGAAATAACACCTATTAGAAAGGATATATTTGTAATGTTGAGCTACAGTACCTTTCTCACGTTAGTAAGAGCACTTTACTGTTGGCTCAAACATGGGGGCACTACTCTTACAATTTTGTTGGCATTGCCCGTGTAATTTATTTAAAGGGAATTCGATTGGGTTTTATTATTGCCCTGAATTTTAAAAATTTTTATGTCACATTGCACAAATATTGTCTAGTCATCCATGCACCCACCTCGGTCAGAGCCAAGTGTGCTTGCATTGCTGATTTCCTTTTTTATAAGGCCCTGCTTTTAATTCCTCGACAGAGGAGAATGAAAAGTTTTCATACCTTTACTGATATTTCTTTGAAATTAGCTGTATAATGCCTTTGCAACACCTGGTGGTAATAGTCATTAAAACTAGCTTATTGTGTGGGCATGTGTCTTAAAACAGTATCCATTATAATTAACTCTTATATTAGTTGTCCTTCGCATCATTCCTTCCAATAGTAGATTCAGGTATTTAATACTCAATGTTATTGACTAAATTAACCCCAGGCAAGGATTGAAGCTCAAGACTGAAACAAGGAAACAGACATGCAAAAATAAACATCTCATGTACAGATTAAAGAAGACACTGATTTGCATTGCATGTGCATTTGGGACAGAGAATTTAGAACATTTAGAGGATATTAAAATAGGGTATTATGCTATGGTTGACGAGTGTGAGAGCTCAGACGTGTTCTAAATGAAATTTCATGAATGACAGTCAGAGCATGTCATCTTCTACTTGTGCATTTTTAGCTATTTCCTCCGCATTTCAAGACTTCATTTGAAGTCTTTGTTTTAAAGGTTCCAGACCAGTCCTTCCACTCCAACACACTGGGAAGAGATCCATGAGAGGGTTCAGAAGATCCTCAAAACCCACCGCAGCCGGCATGGAATGACACCTGTAAGTAACACTCCAAGTTTCGTTTTTCCAAAAGGCAGTTAGATTCTGTGGTCCTCTTTCACAAATCATTCTGATGCAATAGTGCTAAAAGTTTAGAAAATGGCATGTTAACCCATATTCACAAACTAACGAGGCATGTCTAACAAGAAAGGACATACAGTATGACAGCATGCACTTCTTAAAGTCAAGATGATGGGTTCATTAATGTGTTGAATATGCCAATGTCATAGAAAAAGAGCATTAATGAGGGGAGTTCTATGCACATAGTATTCACAGCAACTTCTTAACCATAAGATATACAGTATTTAAACTGGCTGTGCTAGTAACACTGATGGGAAGCAGGTGACATGAGCTGCTCCCCATCTCATTAAAAGGTACCGTTCGGTTTGTCTTATCGTAGAGGCAGTCCCTGCCACCACAGAGAGGTGTCAATATCAAAAGGGAGCAAGGGAAGGAAGTTCCAGAACCCAAAAGCAGAGACAACTAGAAGGTGTTACTTTACTAGGCCCTTCAGAAGACGCCATTCTCACCAGATTCAGATTAGAACATAAAATTCTATACAAGTAATATATACTGTATATACCGTATATATTTACGTTTCATTTCCGAACTTCTCTGCTGTCTTCTTGCCCGTGAAGACTCGTCAGATTCTGTCATTTCAGAATGCTGTAAAACAGGATTTTTTTTTTGAGGCAACATAATTTCACTAATGGCAAAGTACATTTCTGTAACAGCAAATGTTTATGCTTTTTCTTTTAATGTACAGTGCATGTATTTTATGAGTAGTATATTTTATGGCACAATTATCTGCGGCTTTTTTTTAGTGTTTTTTTAAATGTCCAAAAACCAATTCCTTCCAAATACCCCAGGGACATAAAAAAGCAGTAGGAGAGGCACACAGCATATAAATGACATCTGACAGTGCACTTTAAAACAAATGTTTCCACCGTTACCAGGCATATATAATTAGCAAAAATATCTAGTATTTTTAAAGAAGATTGAAAAATGAAATGTATATATACTCATTATGTTTTCTGATGGGTAAACCTCAACTTGGGACAAGCTTTTCTACTCTAGGCATTAAATGTTTCACATTTTGTGTGTGTGTGTGGGGTGGGGCATAAAAAAATATTTTCAGAAGGGGGCAGCATACTAGAGGTCTGAGCACCACTGTCCTATGTTTTCCCATACACCCTAAGTCCTCCTTCATTTATGTCAATTGGTCCATAAGAATGTCAGCATTTCCCTAAGGCACACCTGTCTTCAGGTGCACCCTGCACGTCTTGCGGTAAGAGCCGTGTCTTCTTAAAATGCATTTTACTAGGCTAATGGTATGCTAATGATTTCCATTGTATGCATCTTCATGAGAAATATTCACTTTGTGAATATGGTCTCCCTCATAATCGTAAATTTCTCTGGGGGGGGATTAAAAAAACTTTAATAGCTGGCATCACACACAGTTAAAAGAAATCAAGGGAAGTGGGACATATTCTGATTTTATTCTGGTATAAAACATAAACCAAGGTCCCGGTAAACATTGTATAGTTTTTACTTGTACAGTGGTGACGGGGTAAGATACTGGATTTATGAATACTATTAAATTACACTTTTGGGCACCACTGTTGACATGTGTGGTGTTAGCAATGACAGTTACGGAAAAGAGATATGTAATTACAGTCCAATTGCACATTTTCAGGACTGTCTGCAAGTCATCGTACACTTCAGCTGTTATTGCCTTGTTACAGTAGAATTTTGAAGTGACGCTAAGGTAGAGACACTTCTGGCACAGTGTGGACCAGCAGGTCCTCATGCAGTACTTATCATGGCTCCAAAATTTGACATTTGGTGGGAGGGCAGGCATAAGCCATAACCCATGAATGTTCTGGTTGAAAGATTTGCAAGGGAAAATAATATAATAGCCTTACTGAATGTGAGGGAATCAGTTTACAAATAATTCTATATGTTTAAGCTTTGCAAGCCTTTTTTTATCAATCTCTCAGCCCTGTAAAATCACCTCTCAAAAAAACATTGATGAAACTGGGCAGTGTATCCCATGTTTAAGAAAAGTCTTATAAAATGGTGTTTTCACAACCCTTTAGGCCATATGGATGCCATAAGACTCTGAGCTCCATCTGAACCTTTGCTGGCCAGTTGTGCAAGCAGAAGAAAATGAATAGTGACTGCATTGAAATCAAACAAGTGAATGTTTTCAATGTGTTCCAGTAGATGTAGATAAGAATACTAATTGAAAACATTGAAATAGGGAATGGAAGTGAAATAAGGAATCCTCTAATAAAATGTGACCATTTCATAAAAGACAATCTATCAGTGATTTGTCTCATGTAGATATAGTGATTACCAACAGAATGTTCCCACACTAGAAATGCTGCTTTTTAATATCTGTGGTTAGGATTCAAGTGAACAAATGCAAAGGAAAGCAATACTTATAAGGAGTGTGTCACTATGTGTCAAGTGGTGTCAGTCAAAACATCCACCATGATCGTGCAGAGATTCAGGGTTTTATCCTGAATTTCTAAAAGCATTCATCCATATACATGTGTGAGTTACACATTAGAACCCACTCTTGGATTCATTCGTAAGGTCATGAGTTTTCCTGCATTTTACTGGGCGTATTAACACAGAATGCATATAAATAAAAGTGTTCAGCCAAAACTGCCATCACAACAGATGTGGTGGACTTTTGTGATTTGGGCAACATTTCTGCTTTCTATTTTTTATTCTATTTACCTGTTTTCTGAACATGATCTACAAGAAGTGGATCAGATTTAGCTGCCTTGCAGTAAAACATCAAGACATAGAGTTCAGTCTGGGTTTGTTTCAATTGGAAATATCTCTTCAACAGATTTGTGTCCGAGGCCTAGTAAGTGGAGTCATTACTGTATTTTTCTTTCACTTGAAATCAATTGAATTTCTTTAGAACTTCGAAAGCTGAAAGCCTTAGAGGAAACATAAAGCTTTGGAATTGGCAGGTGTTGTATAAAATGCATCACCTCCCACGCTCTGTGCTTGATTCCTTATGGTGAAACGCAAATGACATCTAACTAATTACTCTAAAGCTTGAAATCCTTTCTGTAAGGCAATGCTCTGGGAGGAGGAACTTCTCACGGAAAGCTGGCACTAAACCTCATCTTCACGGCAAAGAAAAGGAAGTAGATAACAGTGGCATCTCAGCAAGTGCCAGGACAACATGGCATGAGTTTTATAATGGGTTAAGGGAATAAATCATAATCCTCACATAATAAAAAAAGAACAGCTTATGGGATTTCTTTAAAGGCTGTGAAATTCTGAAAGAAACAAACCGACAAACTCGGTATGAATTGAAGACCTAAGAGTAGACATATCACCCAGTAGAATGGCCTCAGTCTTATTGCTGTTCAAATGCAAAATGTTTTGATTCATCCAAAATTCAGCAGTACATTAGAGGTTTCAAAAGTCCTGGTTAGCAACAAAAACATGGGCTGCTGTAAGCCTTTCAGTGCTTTAATGTGTGAGCACATAGAGGGATCCTAAATTACACCTGCAGTAATATTTGGCTGATCGGTGGTGTACATAAGACAATTTCAGTTTATTTTAGGTTGCTTTTATTCCGCCCATACGAAGCTGTGTTTTTAGACTGTCGTAATTGCGAAAACCAAATCCCAGTTCATAAATACCAACATGTGCCCTGTGATTACATCTGTGAAAAATGAATACGGCTGGTTAAGTCTACATGGAAACATTTTATCTTTAAAATATTTTTTTTTCTTAAAAATGAATTTGGGTATGAGAAAAAAAGAAACAATATAATCATTTGTTATTACATGCTGACACTGCATTAAACTTCTCAGCTAATAGTGTAATTCAATACTCAGGTTCATCAGTCACCAAGCATAAGTCAATATCATGTTCCAGTATCCAAAGCACAAAGCAAAGTAGACACATGCACAGGAGTACCTGGTATCTCTGTCATGTCATGCCGGGGCAAACACAGGCTCAAATGAAGATAAGTGTTATTTTTACCACCACACAGAAACTTTTGTGGAGAAAGAACACACAATTCCACTTTCTTTCAAAGTGCTCATTTTAATCTTGAACTTCCTTTCTCGTGGGTACCAAGGAATGGGCACCCTGAGACAGGCAGTCAGGCCGATCCTGCAATCCTTTGGGAGGTGGGAGTAAATGGAAACACCATGTGAAAACCTGTGAAATGCCAAGCAAACATGCAGACTCCCCATAGACAGGCACTCAAAGCTGTCAAAAGCATATCTTGGAACATTCAAGCTGTGGGTTTAGGCAAAAGGAATGCCTTCTTGTATTTTCTTTTATATTTTTAGGGAGTACAAACCAGGATTTGCATGTTAATATTTCACACCTCCCCTGCCCCTGTCGATCAGATAATGATTCTGTCATTGTTTTCACAGGTTTGGGGGAGCCTTACAGATTCTGTGCATCAGAAGACCTCCACATCCTGTAACGACTCTCTATGTGACAGCCAGGTCCAAGAGGACAGGTAAACATCCTGTCATGAGACGTTAGATTACAAAGCTCTCCCCTATGCTAAATTGCTGAACTGCTAGAATATTAATCCCTGACATCTGACGAAATGAACATTTTCTGGTGATTATCTTAATAGCCCAATCTCAGACAATCACCACCGCTGTGACAAGAGCTTTTACTGCTTCCATTACATTTAAATTGCACTCCTGTATTTATTTTTTGTTTGTTTCTTGTGATCATTTTTTTCTCCCATAGGAATGAAAAAAACTTAAGTATATCCAACTATATAGAGAAAAAAAATAGAAGAGCAAATGGGAAAACAGAGAATAAGAGTGTAACTGAGGCAGACAAGTGCTGTAAAACTAAGGTCGTGCTTTATTCTATCACAGTATCAGGGTGTAGGACAGGAGAGAACTAACCATAACAACATTAACAGTTAAGGGGAGGCTGTTCAGCCCATCCAGCTCTCTTGGTTGTTAGCTAATTGAACCTAGGATCACATACATCCTTTTCTTGAAAGAAGCCAGTGTATAAGCTTCAACGTCATGGCTGAGTAGCATGCTCCATACACCCACAACCCTTTGAGTAAAGAAGCGCCTATGGGAAAGACATTTTAAATGCTATTTCTCATTGTGGGAAGTGCATGCTAAATAAAAAAGGAAATAACTGTTCCGTACCTGTGGACAGGGATCCACTCATTTTATCAGGATAGTGTCAAAGGATTCTTTAAGAAAAAGTCAAGTATCAATTTCCAGCTATTCTAACAAACTAACATGCCTCTCCATGTGGTATGATAGCACTGTACCTTTAAATTCTCTCTGCAGGCCTTCACTGTCATAACAAAATACACAGGCAAACTTTTATCATGTAATAAACCTACAGTATAAAGACATATTCAAGCAAAAACCAGCACTTTTTCATGAAATTCAGTGGATCTGTATTGACAGGTCTTTCAAAAATGCACAGAACCACACTAGTTGGAAATTTTGGAGTCTTTCTTTCTGTGATTTTCATGCATACTACCTATCATGTTCTACAGGTTCATGTAGTATATGTAATCTGCTATTCTCTTATTGTATTAAATGTGCATAATTCAATTTATTTTGTAATTTATTTAATTAGCAGATTAAGTATGATCTAAGGTTTGGAGTTATGCAGATGTTTGATACAACAAAGCAGATCTAACAATTGTCTGGCAATCCTAATTTGTTTGTACCATAATAGGATTATTCTTAGTTAAAGTTTTACTAATCCCGATTCTGACAACCAAGAATGCTTCAAATTATTTTTAAATTAAAAAATTATCAGAGTACAGAATATTATGATAATTAGTGTACATTATGATACGGCATGAAATGGTAATAATAGCCAGACAACTCCTGTATTTACCATAAACACATGATATGTGTGGATTTAATATGTACTCAATTAGTCAAAGAGTGGGTGATGACAGACCTTGTCTGCATAACATAGAAATCTCTAGAATGGACAAAAGCTGTTGTTTTTATTGTTTCTGATAACTTGGTAAGCGCAGTAAGGAATATACAGTACAGTGCTGTTTGAAAGTCATTTTTACACATACACTAATTCTTATTTACCTTCTTATTTTCTTATTTACTTTTTCTTTTTCTGTTACATACATAGATTTCTCTAAACATTACATAGAATTTGGGGATATCGACCCTTTATTTTTGATTAAACAAGGATTTCATAGTAAAACTGGAAAGTTTAAAGAACTAGAGGGGTACACAAGCCTTCAAGCAACCCTGTGGAGACAATTGAATAATAATGATAGTTAGTGACTGAAGAAGAAAAAGGAAACTGAAGTTGTAAAGGATTTAAATCTTCCGACCCTTACAAAGAAATGTAACCATATTGCAGTATGCTTCTTAATTTCAAAACAATTTGTTATTTATTTAAATCTTGCATACAATGGAAAAACTTTTATTTTTCAGTTAGATTTATAGTATAGGCTGTTGGTAGACATAATGCTATAGAAGCTGGAGGGGTGTTTAGGGTACTAGAATCACTCAAGATCAATAAAACTCCACAGTATCCTACCAAATATACTTAAGAAGAAAAGAGATGTTGTTCAGAAGCTATTGATGCAACTGTTTCATCAGTCGCTCAAGGCAGGGGTTGTACTGATAGACCAGAGCATTGCTGATGTTATACCCATCCAAAACCACATTCACAAAACTGAACCTGCTAAGTACAGACCAATTAGATTTTACATGTAATGGAAATAATCATTATAATTAAACTAGAGGATCACCTTCCGTATTTGTAAATAAGATCCTAGAAGATAATTAACATTGTTTCACAAAAGTTAGGTCTTGCTTAAATTAAAAATGAGTTCTTTGAACAAGGAACAACAATAATGGACACACACAGCACAAACAATGTGTTGTATGGGTAGTTTTCATTTTACAATATAGAAGTTTAAAAGCTAGAATTTAAGGGATGTTGCGTTATGTTAAAATTTGCAACTCATTAGAAAGACCACATTTAGAATACTGTGTACTGTTTTGGTTACCATGTTAAAAAATTATTGCTGCTCTGGAGAATAACTATCAGATGTATTCCTAGGGTTAAAGGAATGTCCTACGCCAATAAATTGAAATGGGCTTAACTAGTTTAGTCTTGAAAGGAGAAGACTACAAGGGGACTTAATTCACGTGATTAAATTCAACACACAAGGCTTCTTCAGCGTCAGAGGTGAAACACGAATTAGAGGTCACAAGTGGAAACTACATGGAAGTACGTGGGGTGTAAATCTGGAAACAGGAGGTTCTTTACACAAAAGGTTGTGGGAGTACTGTATGAAACAAGCTACCTAGAGAGACTGTTGAAGCCAAAACTGTTTTTTTTTTTTCAAGAAATGGCTGGATGAAACATGACGTCAGATCAATTGATCAATCACACAATTATCTTACGTGAATAAAAGAAAATTCAAAGATATTGTAAATGTCTTAAAACATGAAACTAAACTAGATATACAGAAGTACTGCAGTGTTCCTTGTGTTTTTGTTGAAATGCTGAATTCTGAAAGATGTCTCAGAATGTAATTGCGTTTTCCCTGCTACAATGCACATCTGTTGACAGTAGTATCTTTACCCTCTAGTTCTAGAGGTCTTGGTGAGGCCACAGTCCATTTAGACAATGGGACATTCTGGTCAAATCAGGCTGCCCAGTACACAGGGAAGCCACACAGGGCTGTGTTTGAGGACAGTCTGGGGAAGATCTACAGAAACCTCTTCAAGAAGGCTTCTAGCACCACCTAGAGCGGGATCTGTGATCAGCCCTGTGAGTTTACCCACCTACACAGGGAAAGGAACTGTCAAAAAGTATTATTTTCTTTATTCTAAAAGATCCATGTGTAAAAGAGAGGCCACAGAACACTCGAAGGATTTGGGGTTTGTGTTTGCTTTAAAAATCATTATTTTGTGATCCATGTATTTCAGTCTCTGAGGAACAAGAAGCACACAATGTATAGCAGCAAACACCCTGGTGGTGAAAAAACAAAAATCAACATGTTAAGTTGTTTCTGGTCCACATAATTTGGATAAACATCTTACAGCAAGGCCATCATATAGCAGTTACAGGATGGTTGCTGTTAAAACTTGTATTTATTATCTTAATTATGGATAATTTATCCAGGTAATCTTGTACTGTATATGCTATGTTTCTAGAATGTTGCTTCACAGTGATTTGGATTTTTACCCAAGTAACTTAATACAATGAAATAACAATTGAATGTTTTCTTTACTCAATATCAGCTTGACCAGTCTAAAACCCCCTATTTTAAAAATTATAATAAGAGTTACACAAGCCCTGCAAGCTTAAGTTTCCTCTAAAATGTTTCATTACACTGTTTTGTGTAAGAGCTGGTCCTGATGAATCGTGGTTGTTTTTGCTGAAAGGTAAAGGGTTAAATTTAACATCTTGATCTTTCAAGAAAGAACTGGATAAGATCACTTAGCTTCGAATGTCCAAGCTAATTACCAATCAACATCCTTTTCAAGCCTTTCTATATGATGTATGGAGATAACTTTAAATTATTTAAAGGTTGCCGTGTGTCTGCAAAATAGTTTTCTCTATTTGTCTATTTCCAATTTTGTTGTGGAATGCAGGACGTGTGACAAATATTAGCATTAGTTTGGTCTTTAAAAGGCCCAGAGAGTATTCCTAGCCTCCAATACTGTACAGCTGATTTGGTTACAGCCTGTTTGCCAGCCTTTATAACTGCATTGTTTGTCTGGCACATGTCTAGTGTTCGGATTTTAGCCAACTGTGTCCAGGATCCTGAACAGGGGGAGCTTTTTTGAGAATCACTACCACTGGGTGGGCTTGACACTGCCAGGATTTGTTCTGTGTGGCATGCACCCCCATCAGCCTGCTGTCATGCCCTCATCCAACCAGATTCCCACATGGAAGCGCCCTCATACTAATTACACTTCAGCCGGAGCGCTTCTTCCAAACGATACTGTTCCTGTCAATCAACCAACCACGACACTCCCCCTGTCAGCGCACCTCCCTCCTCTCACAATATTTAAACCCTCTAAAACCCTCTGTTCTTTGCCCCCTATTGGTCGTCCCTTCAGAGATCCTACCTTGCCGTCCTTTCCAAATCTTCTAAGCCCTTTTGGATACGAAGTATGGAACTTGCCCTTGATCATGTGTCTCGCCTAGCCCTCTCCTGGATC